TGTCTGTGCCTTCATAAACGTTTGTTTGTATTTGTGTTGTAACACTTATCACATTATATTCCTGTTGCATGGAGGGCAGAAATCTTGTCTCCACCACCTAGTGATTAAAACAGCCTATGGCAGTTAGTAAATATTCAGTGAAATATTCTTTAAAAATGCATGTTGGCTAAATAGTTTGCTTTATTTTTTAAATAAAACTAGTTTAATAATATGGTTGTCTTCAATATGACAGTTGCCCTTTATGTAATAGGAAGAAGGCAATGAGAGCCTACTTGCCTCACTCCTTCCAAGTGTATGAAATGTGCTCAAAGAATTGGGAAAAAAAGACCTCCGCACTAGAATTTAAACATGACTTTGTAGCAACAATGAGAAATGTGTTTATAAAACCACTGGCATTTCCAATTTTCCCTCCTCTCAATAGAGAATAACAACAACAACAAAATGGTACCAAATCACATATGCACTTTTCATTAGGAGAGGTTTTTAAAAAGGTCAAACCATCTCATCAGAGAAATGGAAATCAAAACCACAATGAGATACTCCCCTTGTGAGAGGGCTCATGTCAACACATTATCAAACGATAAGTGTTGGTGAGGATGTAGAGAGAAAGGAAACCTGGTTTAAGTTGGAGCTAACCTAGAGTGGTTCAGTACTTTTGGAAAACAGTGTGGAGGTTTCTCAAAATATTAACAATAGGTCTGCAACACGATTTGGCAATTCCATTCTAAGTATTTACCTGAAGAATACAAAAACACTAATTTAAAGAGAGATATATAGTCTGTGTTCATTGCAGCACTATTTACAATAGCCAAGTTATGGAAACAACCCAAATGCTCAGGGATAGATGAGTGATTGGGAAGATGTGATAAATATACACAGTGGAATACTACTCAGTATAGCATGATGAACTCTTGCTATTTGTGACGTGGTTGGAGCTGAAAGGGATCATGCTAAGCAAAGTAAGTCAGAAAGAGAAAGCCAAATACTGGGTGGTTTCCCTCACTTGTGAAATACAGAGAAGCTTAAAAAAAAAGACCAGTCAAGACGAAACCAATAACTAACCTTAGAGAACTGTTGGTAAAAATTAAGGCTACCAGAAGGATGGAGGAGATTGGAGAGCCCAGTGTACTATAGTGGAAGATTGTGGGTGCCTTAGTGTTGGGAGTGGCATGCACCTGGAGAGTGTGATCCTGTACCTCTAAATCCCCTAGCATGCTCTAAAGCAGTATTACCTCAATGAAATAAAATTTAAAAGTAGAAAAATCAAACTAATAGATTTCTACAGTCAAAAGCAACTTTTTATCTTTCTAGTTCAAACTTCTACTTTGTATGAATTATCCGTGATAAATGTTCACTAGCTTTTTTTCACCACTTCAGGTGATGGGGAACTCATTACTTAAGAAGGTCCTGGCTTCCTTTTGAAATTATAGTATCTAATGAGCCCAAGCTGTCTCCTTGTATCCTTTAGCCTTTGAACTCAGTTCTTCCTTCTTAAACCATGAAAATATTAATATTTCTTTTTATTATTTTCCTATAATTAAAAATAGTTGTCACCCCAAGTCTCTTCTAGTCAATTTTTTCCGTTTCATTGAACTGCTCCTCACAAGTTATATTCAATATTTTCACCAAAGTAGTACACATCTTCCAGACTTATAGTTTGTCTTTAATACTTCTAAAGTGGAGCCTGGATCAATATTCCAAGTGAGATTTATCCAGTATGTTTTCCAGAGCAGGACCAGCATGCTTCTCATTCTAGACTCATACTGGCATCTTTCATACTTGAACTGCCTCTTACATCAATGTAGAATAAAATGTTGGAAATGGGATAACAGTAAACCAGAGTCAAAACAATTGATCCAGTTCTAGATTTTAGCTGGAAGGCAAGCTGCCTACAGGAAACCTTGCTATAGTAAGGATATTCAAGGAATTTTGAACAGCTAAATGGGAACCAGGTTGTAGCAATATTTGAGATCAGACAGGTGGCAGCATTGAGCCTGCATTAGGTTTAGAGGTGGCTTGCTCAGCAAGAGAGCAGTAAATCAAGATCCAAGCTCTGCAAAAATGTCACAGCTTCTGAATAAATTGTTGGACTGTATAATTGTGATACACTAAGCATGTTTTTTTCTAACTTTGCTCTTGTCCTTATTTTTCAAAATTTAACTGGTAAATTATAATACATATACACAATATATATATTCACAGACCCAAGCTCTGTAAAGAGACTGCAGTCAAAGTTGAGGAAAATGGGGTATACAGAAGGGCTCCCTTTCTAAGGGAAAACTGGGATAGTAAGAAATGACTCTGGAGTTATATAAAGACCTTTGTTGAATTACATCTTTATTTTCCAAATCTCAGTTTTCACATGAAAAAATGGTGCTCATAATAATATTTAAAGGATTGCTGTGAAAACTTAGTGAAACCTGGCATTTAGTTAGTACATATCCAATAGTATTATTGTAACTTAATACACATAAATAAAGTGTAAATTAATTTTTAAGTAATTCTGTGCTTGAAGCCTTTAAAATTATTTTCTAAGAGCATTTTCCTAAAAAAGTTTTAACACTTCCTTTAAAGAGAAGCACTATATCTATTTTTTTTAGAAGATAGCCAGGAATAACATGGATTGGTTGAAAATAGTTTTAAAATAAGCATAACATATTATGATTCATTATAGTCCATTATAATAATATAATCCTTATAATAATCCTACCAAAATTCTGGTTATAGCAAAATACTTATTTTCAGATTTTATTTTTGAGCAAGATGGCAACTTGATTGTACATCTTGGAAAGCAGTCTTTTTGTAAATTCATTAACCCAGTCAGATTTACAATTTATTATTTGTTATAAATCTTTCCACAAACTTTCCCGGTCCTGTATTATTTTTCTTTTAAAATCCAATTATCTTAAACTTAAGAGGGAGAGGCACAACCCAATAGGGGTGCTCTGATAAGATAGTTGTGACCAGAGAATTGGGAGGGACATCACCAGCAACAAAAAAAAGCTTCTCTAGGTGAGTAGAAGACTATATATATATAAAAGTCACACTAGAGTTTCTACAGTTCACGAGCTTTCTCAAATTTACTGAGTTTAAGAAAGCATCCGCTCATACACTTGAAAGAAGACCTTGTCCTGGAATTTGTGTGGTGAGTAATCTAGTTCAGATGATACTTGCTTTTTTTTAATAATCAAGCAATTATTTAATGTGTACTATTTTCTGCAAATATCATGTTGTTTGTTCAAGGTAAAATGTAAAAGGATCACTTGATTTAATGTTTAACATAAAATGTGCAGTGTTAAATAAATATAAGGTACTAAATCATTTATACTTTTAAATCATTGACTTTTATGCTTAAAGTCTGTTGAGATATCTTGGTTTTTACAAAACTCAGCTGAAGTTACATAAAAGATATTCTAAATTTAGCATATGCTTTATTGTTATGGAAATTTTGAAATAGACTAATAAGGAATGAATAATTCTGACTTAAATAACCAAAATAAATTAAGTTGAATTAAATTTACTTTTTTTCCTGCAGAATGTCCTTATTGTATTATTGGGTTTGTGATTCAGAGTTCTATCTTTATAGTTTGAGAAATTCAGTTTTACTGCTGAATGTTTATTCCCTTGCACAAAGCCTTTTCAAAATTTTTATTCTGAAAGTTGTACATGAATTTTAAGGGTGTTTTACAACCATTTCCCCCCTTTTTTATGACACTCCTGTAAGCTCATCTATCCATTGAGAATAAGAGAAAAGCGAGATGTCTTGAGGTTACTAGGTAAAGGTGACTAAGCTAGGATTAAGAACATCTATAGTGCCTTTTCCTGACATAAAGAAGCAAAGAGGATTCATTTGTTGCTTCACCAGTAGTTTATATTGTACAGTGACAATAACAATATGATGTTTTTATGTTATTTCTAATTGGTGTCATTCTGTTTAAAAGGTGAGTACATAACCACTTTATGCACATTATTAAAAGGGGGAGCATTAAGCATTAGGAAAAAGCACATAATAATAGGCTTTGCAGTTACTGAAAGAAAGATTATGGTAGACTATTCTATTTTTGACATGAAATGATTTATGAGGAAGTGCTAAAAATTATATGCAAAATTGTTAATAAGTTGAAGCAATAGGATATGGACAAGCATGGATATGGAGCTAGAACTATCAATCAATATAACAAATAAGATGATTTTTAAATGCCTTGACACATTCTTTTTAATGGTAGAAGAAATGTCATTAATTCAGTAAAATCTCTAAGTCAAAGTCTTTTAATTTGGTATTTATGAAATTGACTTTGCTAAGTAAATAAACAATGTTTGCAATTTACATAGTTAAGAGAATTAATAATTTTTTTTTTAAGATTTATTTATTTATGCATACAGAACTGGGGTACAGGCCAGAGATGCGGAGGGTGAGAGGCTTCACCAGAGACAGAGTGGGGAACAGAACAGGCAGATCAACGAAGTACACTGCTGAGGGGAGCAGCGGGCGGGCCAGGAGAGGTCTGCCACACCATGTGGTCACCTCCGGGGCAGGCGGGAGTGGAACTCATGCGAAAGCAGCTCTAGATTCTCAGTGCTGTGCTTCAACCCGCTGCGCCACCAGGGAGGGCCGAGAATTAGTAATTTTAAAGTGAACTACAAGCATTTCATTATAACCAACATAAAGTGTGGGAAGAAATTCTAAAAAGCTTTTTTATCCCTTACATGCCTTAAAATTCATTTATTAAAGCTTGAAAAAGAACTCTCCAAAAGATATCTAGGAAACCAAAGTTGATCTACTTTCTATACATATATACAAATCATATGTATATAAAATAAATACCAATGTATCTATAAAATAGATTGGTTCAAAAACCAATCATGAAAAACAGCCCAATTAATTGCTATCCCATCCTGTACAGTTGTATGACTATATATGTAAATTACTATAAAATTATATAGTTTGGGATGCTAAAAATATTTAAAATATCTCCATTTTGCTTTTCCCTTTAGGGAAGATGATGTCTGCTAAAGATATGGTTAAAATAATGGTTGTCATGTTCGCAGTTTGTTTTCTTGCAAAATCTGATGGGAAACCTGTTAAGTAAGTACTATAACCTGTTCTGCATTTTAAGGGGAAGGGAATTGGATTTTTAAGGATGGCTTTGTGATGTGGCAGAGGGGAGCTAATGGAGTTGTCCTCTCTGTTTCTGTTCCTTCCAGGAAGAGATCTGTAAGTGAAATACAACTTATGCATAACCTGGGCAACCATTTGAACTCCATGGAAAGGGTGGAATGGCTGCGGAGGAAGCTGCAAGATGTACACAATTTTATTGCTCTTGGAGCTGCTCTAACTAACAGAGGTGGTAGTTCCCAGAGGTTCCGAAAGAAGGAAGACAATGTCCTGGTTGAGAGCTACCCAAAAAGTCTTGGAGAAGCAGACAAAGCAGATGTGGATGTATTAATTAAAGCTAAATCTAGATCTGATTAGAGTTCTGCTGTAGCCAATGTAGGGCAACAATTTTCCTTGCTGCTAATTTTTTCAAGCTCCATTAAGATTGTAAAGTGCCAATATTTCTAATTTTCCAAATTTTGTGATCCATTACTAGCCATGGTAGCTTGCAATTTGAAATAACTACTTTGATTCTACTTTTACTCATTTGAACTGTTTTAATTATTCTTTCTTTATTCTTTTAAAGTATGTTATTGCATAATTTATAAAAGAATAAAATTGCACTTTTTAACCTTTCATCTTACAATATAAAATAAAAACTTAATGATCATTCTAAATAATGAAGTTCGATATTTCATTTTAAATGTTTTGGTATGAATAAAACTGAGAAGTTTAAATTGATCATGACAAGATAGAACAATACAAAATGTCTTTTTTTTTTAAAGATTCATTTATTTACACATACAGAACTGGGCTACAAGCCAGAGGTGCAGGGGTGGTGAGAGGCTTCACCAGAGATAGAGTGGGGAGCAAACAGGTTGATTGACTAGGTACACTGCTAAGGGGAGCAGTGGGCAGGTCAGGAGGTCTGCCATCCCACGTGGGTAACCTCCTGGACTGGGGATCCAACTCATGCAGAGCTAGCTTTAGCTTCTTAGTGCTGCACTTTAATCTGCTGCGCCACCAGGGAGGGCCCCAAAATGTCTTTTTTATAGAGTGTTTCACATTCTGATATTTTAACCATCATACCTTTAATATTACCAAAGTACTAGGTCCCCAAATCATTGTGAAATAGTTGTTTATACCCCAACCAGAAGAGCAAAGCATGCCTAAAGCTCCTATTTCCATATACAACTGGAATCATATAACTTATTAAAATTTTTTATATTAATATCAAACAGCTCATTTTAATTTGCATAATGCTTGATTATTTGTGAGACTGACCTCTCTACACATTGGCTAGTGGTCTTTACTGTTTGTGAACTGTTTATTTGTATCCTTTGCCATTATTTCCATTGGTTTTCTGGCCCTGTTCTTTTTGAATTTTTTGTATATTTCAATATTGATGGCATTTGTTTTAAATACCCTCAGTATTTCCTCCTAACATATCATATATTTACTAACATTTTCTGTGCTTAATTTTGATAAACTCAAATATATAATTTTTTTCACCCTCTTTTGGGGAGTCTTGTTGAACAAATCTTTCTCCAAACCTGGATTACAAAATTGTAAATCTACTTTAGAGTTTTACCCTTCACTTTTTGACAGAATATTATGTTTGGGCTTTATTTTTTCACATGCAGTCACTGTTCCAAATACTAGCTATCAAACAATTCATTATCTTCCCATAGTTTTGTAGATACATTTAAAAAATAGCTTAAGCATCCAGGTCCAGATAGAAGCCCACAAGTCACTCATTGTCTCCATTTTGCAACTTAATCATGTGTTTTAATAATATGCCCCTTTGATATCTCCAATGCTATGATTCTCTTCTCCCTGTAATAGATATAAAGGAAACCATCTTTCCCAGATAGATTCTTAGGGGTTGAGCCTCTGAATACCCAGTCCAGGCACTCTTCAGGAGTTCTTGATTTCATCTTGTAGTAGCAATCATGGTAACAGCCTCCAAACACACATGCTAGAGGAAGAAACAGAACTCACCTTTAAACTCCAGGACTCTTAGATCTAGTTCAGTCTTTTAAAAACTTACTGCAGGCCCTCCCAGGTGGCACAGCGGATTCAAGCACAGCACTAAGAAGCTAAAGCCACTTCAGCATGAGTTCGATCCCTGCCCTAGAGGTGACCCACATGGCGTGGTGGATCTCTCCTGACCAGCCTGCTGCTCCCCACTCTGTCTTTGGTGAATCCTTTCACTGCCCTGCATCTCTGGTCCCAGTTCTGTATGCATAATATTAAAACAAAACAAAACAAAACTTACTGCAATACCCAACTTTTAAAATATATTTCTGCAGTTCTTATGCTAAGGCTTCCTTTTCAGTAAAACAAGCTAGAAGAATTTCACAACCATATACATTCCTGGTAAATCAGAAGAGCTTAGAATACATGATCCCTCAATTTTAGACCATGTGCTCTTCTTTTTGGACAGAAATCACCTCTCCTTAAGAGAACTATGGTTGGTTGCAACATCCGGTTTCTTTGGCAGATGATCATGGGTTGTACTTTTGTTATAGGGCAAGGCACACCCCTGAATCCCCAAACCTGCCTGCTCTAAATAGGTTCTGCCATCTGCTACATCAAGACAAAACATATAAGGCCTTTAATGGAAAGGAACTTTAATACAATGAGTGTGCAATAAAGAAAAGGCAAATAATTTCTAAATTACCCAAAGTTACCCATCCCTGTGTGGGTACAAGTCCACCCAAAAGGGATTGGCCCAAAGCAAGGCCTGAAAGCCTGCCACAGTTTAAAGCACCTTCCAGCAGAGACTGTCAGAAATGGCCAGACAAGTCTGGGAGGAAAAGAGCAAAATAAAAAATCAAGATAAAAGCTGCCATACTGAACCTCCCCATGGGTCTCTCACCCATATCTGTTTCAACCAGTCCAGGGCCAAGAAACAAAAGCAGTTTCTTCACGTGTCTTTGCCCCCTGTGCCTCAGGTCACCTACTGGCTCTTCATCCTGCTTCCTTCTCCAGATTCCTTCTACTCTGCTCAGCTCCACCCTCCTCCTGGGTGGGACAGGGAACTTGACACTTCCCCTTTTCCTGGGGCCCACCCTGTTACACTTTCTTATCCTTCCTTGGGCTCCCAGGGCAAAAGAGTGAACACGGAAATTCAAAGTACACACATTTGTGAAGATGCATAAATAGAGTAACTAGAAATGGTCAGAAGCATTGAAAAGTGTTTAGGAAAATCCTGCCTGCAAATTTGGGTGGTGAACTTTGATGACAGAATCACTTCTCTTCATCTTATCTTACACACACACACAAATTACAATACTGCAATAACAAAAAAAGTACAACAATAAACCCAACCTGATGAGATTTTGGTAGCTTTGTTGCCTGATGTAATATTCAGGAGATTACTTGAATTACAAAATTCCCATTAGGATGCTCTTGTTGGAAATCCTCAAAATTTTCTGGCAATTTCCAATTTGGCAGAATATTAACAACTCGGCTTACTATGGCAATAACCTTAGGTCTCTGACATCTAGATGTCCCTGGATAGGCCGAGGATATTCACTATCTTGTATTTTCAGTTCCTAAACTCAAACGGTGGTTTGGAAAACATTCTATCACACGTGGGGACCAGAAAATTTTCTCTCCCGAATCAGAATGATTCAAAGTTTTACAACAAACTTCTTTCCGCAAAATGTTCTGACACCAAATTACTCAACCCAGGTCTTCCTCTTTGCTTCCTTGGTTTGCATCGCCCCTCCCACCCTTTTCAAAACTGCAACTCTTACTCATCCTTCAAGATTTGGCTCAACTACCACTCCCTAGTGGAGGCTTCCTCAACTTGGCAGGCAGAGCCGGTTACTCCCTCTCCGCTCCCTAGGCCAGCAACTTGGCTTTTATCTCCTTATCTTAAAATGATCTGCTTCGGGTGGGTTTCGTTCTTTGGGTGTGAGCTTTAGGGGCGGAGGCGGATCTCTTTTTCGCCCCCGTCTCTACAGCCCCGCATTTGCTACAGGTAGGCTCAATAAAACTGAAACATTGACACCTGGCGACCTCCCCACGAGGCATAATCCCATTCAGGTTCCTCTTGAGCTTCCAAAGGCGGCCCAGCGGCTGGTGTTAGCCCGCACGCCGCTTCCCGCCAACCCAGCGTTTAAAACCAAACGGCTGTGGCCACGAAGGGCTACAACGCGCTCAGCGCAGCCGCGCCTCAACCACCTCGCGGTTAACACCCGCCGGCTGAGCCCGCGGCGGCGATTTCGGAGTTTCATCTGTCGAGGGCAACGGTTTCCCTAAACAAACGGGCATTCCTTCGATTCTGAACAGGAAACACCGCCGCTCCTTTATAACGGTGACAGCAACGAAAGAAAAATGTGGGATTCAAAGAGTTGAGAGTAACAGCTCGTCATCGCCCAGGCTCGAGGCTCGCAGATGATCTTCAGCTGAAGCCTGGGAAGAACCGCGCCTTCCGCTCAGTCACGCCAGCCCCCAGCAAGAACGCCCACCTCAGGTGGCCGCTCCCTCCACAGCCCTCACCCTCGGTGCCCCGCCCACCCCGGGCGGCGAGTCACAATTCTCGCGAGAACGCAGCTCGCTTCACCTCTTCGGACTGCGGGCTCTCGCGAGAAGAGGCTTAGGAGCCGGCCTGCAACCTGCCGGGCGGATTTGGTAGCTGCTGCCTCCTGACTGGCTGCCTCCACAGACACCGCCGGAGGGATTCATTTGGGGGAGAAGCGGAGGCGTCGCTGGCCCTGGCCTTTGCCTAGGTCCTCAGGGGCCACGCAAAGGGGACTAAGGTTCGCGGGTGACTAGACTCAGCTGGGGAACTTGTGGCGGCACCGCGGGAGGCTGGGTTTGGCGGGGGCGAACGGGGAAGGGGGCGGAGGGCTTGGGAGCCAGCCTGTGGTGGGGGAGGTCTGGGCTGCCGGGACCCTGCTAGGGAACCATGGGTGGGTTTCTGGGTGCTGGCTGCTGGCACCTACTCTGAGAGACGGGGTTGGAATTTGCTTCTAGGGGGGTGCTGTTTTGGGGTTGGAAGTCCCGAGGCCTTTCCCCAGGGATGTAGGCTGTACCCCCGTCCCTCCTTCCGAGAGCTGAGGAACCCGGTGCCCCGCCCCTTCCCTGTCACCCTGGATTCACGCGGCGGTGTCCTGGGGAGGGCGCATCACAATGGGGGTAAGGAGGCAGGTAGTTACCATTTGGGTGAAGACTAGTGAGAGACTTCAAGAATGTGCGGCGTGGTTTATGTTGTATCGGTATCACGTCTGGGAAAGCCCTTGTTTAACGTGAAGCTACACAGGAAAACGGCTTGTCTGCCTTCAATGTAGATCATCTAGGGTTCGGGGAAGTGAGACATCACTTAAGATTTGTCAGTACGGGGGCAAAGTGACTATCTCTGGACCTCCCGGATTTCATGCTGTTTTTTCCTCTCTATTTTGAGTCCATGATGAAAAGTCACTAGTCCAGACATGCTTAAGATAGAGCCTCACCTGTTTGTCAGTTTGTGCAGACACCATATACAAAACTTATTTTTTTTTAATCATTAGGCGTTTACATGCTTCTTTAAATTAACAATCTGAATGAGGCCGCAAAATCTACTGATTTTTATTTGAACTAATTGGAATAAGAGCGATAATAAGGAATGTAACCAAGAGTTTGAGAGCTCATTTAGGACTGAAGTTCGAGTCTTGAAAATAAGAACTGCAGTTAGCATTCGAATATAAAGCAGAGTGTGGTTGAAAAGACTGATGGTGGATATTACGATTGTTCAAAAAGTGAGAATTATTTTTGAAAGTGTAAATGTGTTTATAAATTTCCCTAGCATTTCTGAGTTTGACCTGTTGTTTATATTGTTTTACAAATAAAGGAAGTTCTGAAGCATGGAATGTGGTAAGGAACTATGGAGTAACTTAGTTTTCAGTCAGGAAATATTTTAGTGTCTCAACAGTATTTTTGAGTTCTTTACCTTTTCCCCTCTTCCATAAAAGTTTCCACATGGCTTTTTACCTTCAGTGTGTCACCCTTCTCATCATCGTTTATTTCTTTCTCTTTTCCAGTAAGCTTTGTGAAATTTTATTATTAACTATGAAGTTACAAACCACTGTGATCTGCTTTGTGACTTTTTACCTTTAGGTGACTTGGTCAAGGGTGGAAATGCACTTTTCAAAGGAATAAATTATGAATAGCAAGCTCACGTGTCTTTAGGTACTAGACAGGTAATGAAAATGATTGCAACCTACTGCAAACCATCAGACCCTAGAGTTTGATGGTGGTTCTACGAGGAACATCTCTTGATAGTTAGTTCTCAGGTTCACCCAATTAGTGCTATGCAATTAGACCTTGGCCATCTCAAGAGAACCCAGGAAGTCTAGGTGTTTTTTTTTTTTTTTTGCTTGCAATCTCTTGATTTTAAAAATATTGACAACTCATTAAAACAAAAATAATTTCATGTGGCCCAGCCAAACCCTTTTTGTAGTTATATCCTGCCTCTGTTTGAGAACCTTTTTTATAGTTGAATGAAAAAGATTTAAAGCAAGTATGCCAGTCAGCTTGGAATTTATACCTAGGAGAACTTGGGGAAAATGCCAAATCTAGTTGAAAACAAGTAAGCTTAATAGCTTTTACATATAGTAGGACATATTGACTTGGTACTTACATTTTAACTGGAATAGAGACCAAAAAAGGCCTCTCAGTATATACAGTTAGTAATTCAAGAGTTCTGAACAAAAGTGATTGTTAGGAATCTTGTAAAGAAATTGATTTCTTGAGAAGCATTTTTATTGTGCTTGCACTTAATATGTAAAATTAAATCCAGGTCATAATCTACTTTAGGTTTTGAATGTTTGCTCTCCCATCTTAGATTGTCTTTCCAGTCATTTACTTTTGCTGGAAGCAATATTGATTCCTAGGATTTTATTCCCTAGCAAATGTGTTGGGGAAGACAGCATCAGTATGAAAAGAAATGGGATGAGGAGAGTGTGATGTGAAGCTAGCACTACTTTACATTATTCATTAAAAAAATTGATTTGGGTTAACTACTACTTTTTGATAAGAATAATTTGGGTTTTGATTGATTAAACACAGTGCCTTATTAGAGCTTAATGATATTTATGGAATTGAATCCTGTGGATTAAACCACATTTACCCATTAGTGAGAAATACTTTAATCAGATAAGCTTGTTCATAGTCTGTGGGGAGTGGAGATTTAGAGGTCAGCCCTAACAAAGTAGACCTTAGGTACAGAAAGCAAGGTGAGGGTCTTTGATGGGGATATAGCCTTGTGAGAGGTGGTACGCTTTTACAGAGAATTCTGCCTTTTATAACTAAGTTTATTTTAATTTGTGTAAAGACGACATAAAATAGTGGTTTTTATTCAGGACCACTTTGGGGAGTTTGCAGATTTGATTTTCTTCCTTTTAGCCTAGCCTTCTCAGTTTAAGTCTAATGTCTGCCTCTCTGGAATGGGAAATGAAATGGGAAGAGATATGTGTTATGTTTGTGAGGTGTTCCTGTTTGAGAGTTTTAAAAGCATTCTGAAAAAATCTGTTATATATTTGTGGAGATTATGTTTGCAGAAGGAGGAACCATCATTTTCCTCTCCCTATCTTTCTGCCATGACTTGTAAAGTAGGAAGTTCTCTTTTTGAAGCAGCTTTCCATCTTCCTACCCTCTAAAATAACCTTCCCAAGGGAGGATTAGGTGGGCCTGGAAAAAGACTAGGCTGAGTATGATTTTGCTTAGTGCTTTTTTTTTTTTAGCTCCCAATAATTAGGATCTATTTTCTCTGTTCCTCTGTATCATAAATTTATGTGAGCAGGCTGAGTCCTATGGAGGAGAAGGAACTAGAGCATCTACAACTCTCAATAAGTTTAATTTACAGTTGAAGTAGTAGAAAATTTTTTTGGCTACTGACTTCAGCTATATTTTTATCTTCATCTGTCTGACTCCTGCCTTATTTTGTTTGTTGGTTATGAACAAACAGGGAGAAAGGAGTGTAGTCATAAATGTTTATTAGTGGAGAAAAGTTTTTTTTTTTTCATTTGTGGATAGAGTTTAAAAGGTTCACGCTAATTTGCCTTTCCCCTAATATGACTTGTTCGATTTGGCACCCTTTAAACTAAAGCTACCTGGCTAAGCAGTTAGCTGTCTAGAACTTGGAGATGGAAGGTAAATGATTGAGGTAGGTAATAGTGATGCAGTGAGCTGAGTTCTTGAAATAATAGGAATTTGAAAATATATAAGAAAAGATTTTATACCAGATATGTAGCCTTATGTCAGATTTCTGAAAGTTAGTAGGATGCTAAGAGGTACTGCTGTCAATACGAGCATCTTTTTACCCTTAATAGTTTGTTTTCATATTAAAAAACATAAGATATCTGATTTACTGAGTACTTATTTTTGTCCTTGTTGAAATGAATAATACATTAATACTTTTAGTCACAAACTGAAATTAACATTTGGTAGTAAGGGTGTTACAGTAAATTACTGATTGAAGTACTTGATGAGAAACTAACACTTTTCTATGGTCATTTAAAATTGTAATCATACTTTTCTGCTTACAATACTGGATTTTTGAGGAGATCATTTAGATCCAAATGTTATGTTTATATCATAAAAGTTACTTAACCTTGCTGGGTCTTTATTTCATAGAGAACATAATTGTAAGGAGTTTAAGTTATGTTCAAGCCATATCCCTTTCTCAGAGAATTTGTATTTTTGTACTAGTTTTAAAAAAATTATGGATATTTTCAAATAACACAGACGTAAAGGGACTGGTATAGTACCCATGTTGACCACTTAGATAAAGAGTTTGCTATTAGCTAGGCTTTTCCCCCCTTCTTTTGTCTGGTTTATTGTAGTGATTTTCCTGGTGGGTTGCATGTTCTTTTGTGAATGTGAAAAACTTGTTCTTGTGTATGAAGAAAACAGTAGGAATCCCACATATATATTTATTCTATCTTCTTCTTTGCTACTTTTGGCATGCTTGTACTGTCACTGTTCTGACAGTGTATGTGCTTCATAATGTATACATAGATACATGTGTTCTACTTAATTAAAATGATATAAAGGCAAAGAGTATAGTTTTTTTTTAAAGATTTATTTATTTATGCATACAGAACTGGGGTGCAGGACAGAGGTGTAGGGCAGTGAGAGGATTCACCAGAGAGAGTGGGGAGCAGAACAGGCCGACTGTTGATTGCTGGTCAGGAGAGGTCCACCGCACCATGTGGGTCACCTCCAGGGCGGGAATCAAACTCATGCTGAAATGGCTTTAGCCTAGTGCTGTGCTTTAACCTGCTGCACCACCAGGGAGGGCCTAAAGAGTATAAGTAAAAAAAAAGTGTATGGCTTCTTTGATTATCTTTGCATCCCTAATGAAAAATACTATTTAAAGATAGTCTTGAACACTTGTTGATTTTTGAAATTGTTTTACAATGAGTATTTTGAAAAGTTACATAATAGACTTTTGGGGGGCAGTAATTTCTTTCTGTATTGCTTGCAATTTGAGATACTCTGCAAAGAAGAGCATCTCATCATAATCCCGTGATCCAGCTACACAAACACAAAATTGACATCATTCTATAGGTAATGACTTAATTTTTTTTAAGAAATATTTAAAAGTCAAATGATAATGCAACATATCTAGATTTCAAATTAACATTCCTTCCCTTTCTGTCTCCCCTTACTCTTTCCTTTCTTCCTCTTACCACAAATGCTTTGACATTTTTCTTAGGGTAATACAGTAGAATAAAAATTTCAAAGTAGGGGTTTTTGTGTCAGTGTATGATTTCCTCCA